GAAGGCGAAATTCGCCGAAACGTCAGCTTAATCGTGAACAAAGAACAATAACACCTCGCGTTTGCTCAAAAAATACGAACGAAATACAGAGATTTTTTAGAGTTTGTAAGCACAAATGTGTCGTCAACCTGAACTTCTCCAGTTTTTCTTGACACAGTTATTCGAAGCTCATCCCTCTCTTTCTCTGCTTTCTCTTTGTTTTCTTTCATTTCTTCCAGTTGTTTTTCGACGGCCTTGATATCAGCATCAAATCTAGACAAAAAAGTTCAAAGGACACTAAATACCAAACGTACATAACTGAGTGCTGGCAACAATATAGACTGACTTTTGGTTGTACGCCATCTCCGGTTTATTCCCCTCTCCAAATATAAAACACAAACTAACCTCTGTTGCTTTTTCTCCAACGTTTCGTTTCGCGCACGAATGTTGTTCAGTTCAACTTCAACGTCCTAAAAAATACATCAATATCTTTTTTAGGAAATCATTCATGCAACGTACCCTGAGCTGCGTAACGACATGTTGCGTTTTCGCTCGCATTTGTTCCTCAGCTTGTTGAACCCGTGCTAACTCGATTTTTAATTCAGCAGCCTTAAGGTTTCAAATGTTGTGGAGATCTTAAGATAATGAAAAGAAAACATTCGGTGAAATTCAACGACAAACAACATCTAATGTACTCTATATATTTTGATACATTGCTTTAAAACATATGCGCTGCCAAAATGAAAACGAGTGAACTCTTCAGATAAAGAACGAACAAAAAGCTACTAGAAGAATAACTTGAAAATGGTTTGTTAAGAAAAAAGAACCTTCTCATCTGAATCCAACTTTGCAACAGACGACGTTCGGCTAACTCGCTCATCTTCCAAAGCTAAAAATTCAGTTGATTTTCACAAGTAAAACAATTGATAACAAATAAAGGAGGGATCTTATGTCTAGCATGCATTATGTGCCATGATTGTACGAAAGGCCCGGACTCATGTAGGGTACAGACAACTTCATAGTTCCTACTATTTTCGACATATTTGTACCCACATCAACAACAGTCTCTCTAGTTCAACAAACGCACTCCTCAGAAAAAGCTTGTTGTAAACTATTAATTATAGAAGAAGACGTTTCTGATCCGATGTTTGGTGTACAGTTTAACAGCGAAAAATCTCCATGAGGTAAAAACAAAGGGCCAGGAAAAAGAGTTTATCTAGCGCTTACACCGACCGATATGCTCGTCGACTGTGGAAATTAACTCATGTCGCAATGAAATATTAAGAAACGGTGCAGTAAATAGAGCTCAATCTTTGTAAAGGTATTCTACCAACAAGTGTTTGTTTCGAAGCTTTTCTACTCCCTGTGCTCTCTGTGAATTCATAACAACCCAATTAGTTGGAATAAAACCGAATCTGCAGATTTCTGCCGAGGAAATAACAGGTACCCTACTCTGCAAAAAAAATTCTTTTGCAGTTTGCAACCGCCGCTTTCGCATTTTGTCTTAAAAATTTAACTTTCCTCAACAATTTTTTGAAAGCTCTAATTCTAAACAAGTTGAAAGTTGAAAGTGATAAAACTGTCTTAACTCTTTTATTTACTGCCTTTTTCTTCTTAATGGCAGGGTATGTTGTGAAATATAACTCGTATGAAGTGCTGAGATATTTGCAAAACTCCTGACCACAGGTGTATGCAGTGGGGAACGAAAACGCGCTGTTGTCCTTACCGGGGAGCAGCGCACTTCACCACTACACCGACCCGGATGGTAAGGACAACAGCGCGTGTTCGTTCCCCACTGCATACACCTGTGGTCAGGAGTTTTGCAAATATCTCAGCACTTCATACGAGTGATAAAACTGTATAAAAAATTACATATGTATGTAAACATTTATACCATTAAATAATTATATGTATATATATACAGACATAAATATATATATATATATATATATATATACATATATGAAGATAAAGCACTCGGCGTTGATCAACTCCTAAGGAATGCGCCATGCGTTCGACTTCATTAAGCATCGTTTCAGCTTACATTCAAAAACATTCATAAAGACTCGTAGTACGGTTATCCCAGAATTCGAGAAACAGTCGACTCCACCAGACAGAATTCGTAAAGAAAGACGAAAAATTCTAAAGCAGCAGTCGAACTCACAATCAAATTTGACCTTCGTGGATAATGGCTGCGAGGAAACACGGATTGAAAGAAAGAAGTGCCAGGATTCACACCACATATGAATATGGGTAATGTGACAAACGGTAATAGAAGTAATAATATAAGCGCAATAAGAATACCATAAATTACTACAGACCAGACAATTTCCAGCAGTCGTGTTATGTAAAAATATTTGACTTGCCCTTTCCCATTTCTTTTCTCCTCTAAACATATTCCTTTTAACCCTTTTATTTACTGCCTTTTTCTTTTTTTTTAATGGCAGGGTATGTTGCGAAATATAACTCGTATATAATGCTGAGATATTTGCAAAACTCTGGACTGCAGGTGTATGAGGTGGGGAACGAACCCGCGTTATTGTCCTTACCGGGGAGCAGCACACTTCACCACCACACCATCCGATTTGGGCTTCCCAGATCAATCCCGTTGATGGGTGATTGCTGATGGCAAAAAGATCGATAGAACTAACTGAGAGACAGGCAAAGCGAAGGACCCGGATGGTGTGGTGGTGAAGTGCGCTGCTCCCCGGTAAGGACAATAACGCGGGTTCGTTCCCCACCGCATACACCTGCGGTCCGGAGTTTTGCAAATATCTCAGCATTATATACGAGTTATATTCCTTTTAGTTTATAAACGGGATAATTTAATTTTTAATTTTTTAATAATTTTTTTCTGGGTAAAAAAATAAAATGAACACTGGCCATTTAACACACCAAATACTGAGTTGCTTGGAAATTAATGTCCAATGTGCAATTTCATTTTTCTTGCGTGTATCAACAGTAGGTTTTCTTTTTTCGAATGCTGCACTATTTATTATATATCAGTGCAAATCTCACTCCATGCATTCTCGTTCCCTGAATTCAATTATATAAAACATATTTTTGAAGAACTCTAAACTTTAGAATTACAAATTTTAGAAGAGCAACTCTAACCATCAACCACGAATTCAGAATGTGTTATCGAACGCATAATTCAGCGTTGGTTTAGCGAAATCTGTAATGGTGAATTCGATCTTGAAGGTGAAGGAGGTCGTAAAGTTCTTTTGCTAATGACAATGATGAATTGAAGGCTCTGCTGGAAGGAAATGCAAGAACAACTCATCGAGAAGGTGCAAAAGAACTTGGCGTAACCATCTTCGAAAACCTTAGATTATAACGGTTTTAATTTCGATTAATAATGCTTGTTCTAAGCAGAGATATACCACTTTAAAAATACAGTTTGAAACCAGATAAGAACTTCCAAAGAACCTAATAGATGTGCACTTGGTAACAACACCGTTTTTCGCTTCAAACAGAAACACACCCACCTCCGCCTTTACATTGCTGCAATCTTCTGTTTATCTCGGCCGTTGTCTGGGTTTCTCGATTGAGAGCTTGCGTGAGTTCGTGAGTAGTCTGCATTTCGCTTGCTAAGCGCTCCTCTAAGTCGTATATTTGTCCCTCCTGTCGAGTTTTCTCTACGCGAAGTAGATGTAATTGTTGTTCTAATTGCCGGATCCGAAGTTCGCACTCTTGATGAGATGGATCACTCCTATATTAAGGCTGCATAATAAAGAGAAAACTCTCACTGAATCAATTTTGTGGCACATTCTAAAGTTATAACAAGAGCAAAGGGAAATGATAAATACAGTACACTTATTAGGCTAAGAAAAAATTTTGATAGGAGGTCCTTTGAACGAATATGTTAATAAGTAAAGTTGATGTGAGTTTTCTTCCCTATTTTTATTATTTCTTGAAAATCGCTCTCTCGTAAATTATGAGAAATTACCAGACCATGATAAGCAAAAGCGAGCTTGGTGTTAGTTGTTCAAATGCGATGTTTGACGTTTCCTGTTATTTGGTGAATATTCGCTAGTCCCAATGAAAACCTAATTCGTATTGCAAATAAAATATCTGCCCATTATGAACGGTGATGAGTTTGAAGTGACAGTCATGACGCTGGCGCAGGAATCAAAAACACCAACGTAGAAAAGCTTTGGGGCATTTTGTGTAAACTACAGAAATCCAAAAATGAATAAGAATACCGGATGTCTCACTATCACACGTGACATAGCGCCTTAAACATGGTGAGCGGTGAGTGAATGCATATCTGGTTTATACAATGACTTGCGATGGCCTACCGCTGCTACCCTTCCATACAACCCTTGTATGGATTTGCTAAGTCCGAAAGGATGGAAGAATTGGTGAACCCGGAACGCGGAATCGAATCAACAACCACGTGTGTATTTTAGGCACCTCTAACTACTCCGCTACTTAAGTCCTGAAGCGCTTTATCTCAGACTAATTTTCTGACCTAAGTAAGGTTCATTGTCTATCGTCTGTAAACTGCAAACAGGTGGCCTTATCATTCGAGGAAGAAAACGGCGACTTATTTTTGGTATTTATTATTTTTCATTTACTATTATATTACTACACCATTACGCCCGATCATTTTATTCTTAGGATCTTCGGTTTGGCATACGAATTAGGTTTTTAATGGAGCTAGGGAATATTTAGCGAATAAAAGAATAAGGGTACATAGCACTTCTAGGCTTTGAAGAAGGCGAAACCGCCGAAAGGTCAGTCATCACGTTCCAAGTTGGATTAATAACAACCTCGCATTAGTTTTGTAAGGACAGCTCACAAAACAAATAAATTATTAATTCCAGGGTTTAATTGACTCGGTCTTTCAAATTACTAAAACAGTTATGAAAAAACCTCGTGGCTGCTAGCAATGGTACAATTTTCGTGTAGAGTTTCCACCATGGCCACTCACGCACTCGAATGTAGGCCTTGCCGTTTTTCTAAACAAAACATGTAATCTCGTTACAGGACATCCTGCAAGTAGTAAAAATTTTAGCAAACAATACAGAATTGTTGCTACTACTTCAAATATTGCTAGCTTTCATTTCAGACCCCCTAGCACACTTACAGGACCTAAAATTCCAGTAACTACTATCGCGGCATTAAGCGCACTTCACCGTTGAAAAAAACGAGTTAATCGAGAAAATTTGTTACCATATGGACCTCATTTATTCAACCATCAAAAACCCCTGTCACCTTTAATATGCAGTAATCTTCTAAAATATTGTAGAACTAGGAAAAAAAAGCCGCAACGCTAGAGTCCCCTAAATACCAACGACTTCCCCACAACAGATTTTGACTCCGAAGACCGCAAAAAAGTTTAGATTGATGTGCTTCATTTCACTTTGCAGATAGCCCTAAGAACCAACGAAAAAACTGTAAAAGGCTAAAATCTATCTTCATCTTTGGTATACCTGAAGGCATTTGATAGCCGTTTCCAAGATTCGTCTATGGTACAACCATTTTGAGGCGAGATGTTTTCGGCACTCCCGTTGAAACGCCGCTACTAAACCCGAAAGAGACAAGTCGCGACGATCCTCTAATTCATTCATCACATCAGAACCCAATAGAACCTATAAAACAATGTAGTTGATGAGTATTGCGCTTGTTGAAATAATTTCCTTTAAGAGAATAGTGATATTCTGACGTGATATCTACATAAGGGCGAAGGACCTCAAAGTGGTTAGTTTCGAAGTAACATAGATACAACATTGGGCGTCGTAGATGACCAATACAGGAATTGACAGAAATCAGGACCGTACGTTCTCTAACGCAAAGAACTGGCTCACATTTTCGGTACATGTGCATGTTTGCATATTTTTGTATGTAGGCGGATTGTATTCCTTGCAACAATTCAGTCAGAATGAAGTAGTGTGTGACTGAGACACGTCTACACTGATAGAACCTGATGAGCCCCTCCTAAGTCCCATGGGAAAGCGAGGCGAGTTTTGCAGCAAGGGTTTTCTAAGAGAAACTAATGCCTTTCATATGGAAAATGTGATGGTGTTCGTATCTCGAGTAAGAACTCATAATACAGATTTTGTGAGCTAAAAACATGAATGGAAGAGCATGGTATGCGGTCAAATCATTCGATACTCACCAACATTTCATGTGCTGAAAATAAATCGGGTATATAAGTCACTTCGGTAATGGAAGGTACTAGGGTAACTTATGGAATCCAGACATATTAGTGACGCAAGAAAGCAAAGCGCGTTGAGTTTGATATATAGTAACATGCCTGGCTAATTCCTAGACGATATCTGCTTGGATGTATATCCATTCGTTCCAGAATCCGTGATACCGCAGCTCGATCATCAAGTGCATTGTTAATTGATGAATTTAGTTCATCCTCAACGAGACAACCAAAACGACGACGGAAATCGCGAAATGGTACTCTTTCAGGATACCCTGCAATACGTATATAAATTAAATATGTTCACTAAGCACGATTGTTCAATAACAATCGAATCAAGCAAAAATATGCTTGCCTCTATTGTTGACCCTAACAGAGTCAATTAAGAGAATGGATCGTATTTGACTCCGAACAAACGATACGTCAATCATTTCATGTGAGCTCGAAATAGAACGCAAATTTGCTGAAGGCTGGATGCAGTGAACGAAATACGAGCGATGACTACGACGCAAAGCAGAAAAAACGTAGTCCTGAAATTAAAACAACATAAAAATTAAAAACATTCCAAAAATACACCCCACGATTTACACTACTGAACTTCTCCACAATAACAACCTTTGAGATGTAACAGACATTCACTAATTATAAATTAGCCAGTACACAGGGACGATGGATCTTTCTTATGTTCGAAAAATAAAAACACATGTAAAAATCTGCTATGAAAGCAAGCTTTATCACAGATTTTTACACACAATTACATAACAAGTCAAGTCCAGATGATGCAGTGCCAGTGATACCGTTCAGTCGAGCAACGTGTTCTTTCGACAACTCACAGGCGTGACAAGCCTCCCATCCCTTAGGGGTCATGAAATTAGTACCAAAATCGACTTAGATCAGCGGACTCGTTGTAATCTACAAAAGCTGGCCATTACCTGTGATGAAAATCTGGAACGCCCTAGTACGGCTATTCAAGGATTTTAGAGAGAAGTGATAGGATTAACATTCAACGACATTCATAAAGAAGATCATAAATGTTCCAGAAACAACCGATCTCACATGTAATCTCCTCACGACAGACATGAGGAAACGAATCGAACGCAAGATGTGCTGAGAAGCGCACAACATGTGATGTCAAATCGTGTGAAATAAAGAAAAAACGATCATGAGTTAGAGAACCGAAAAAAGTCACTTATACACGGACTCTTCCGAGGCAAACGTCATCATTTTAAACCAACAACGCCCTACTGGCATTCATTTTCAAACAAATGGTTCAAAAATAAAAGAAGCTTTGATGTTCAAACCAATACACCTCATCTCACGGTCTCACAACAACGTCCACTCTGCGAATCTTAAAGTTCTCCATTCAGTTATCTGTGATTGAAAAATTATCCCTCGTTAACTTTTTTATTTACTGCCTGTTACAATTTTTTACGGCAGCGTATATATGAAATACAATTACAATGATGCTGAGACGTTTGCAAAACTCCGTACCATAGGTGTCTGCGGTGGGATCGAACACGCTATTACACTTTCTGGGGCTAACGCATTCACCACCACACCATTCGGATCCTTCGCTTCGTCTTTCTCTCAGCTAGTTTTCTATCCACCAGTGCCATCAACAATCACTCAACAACGGGATCCATCCGAGAAGCACAAATCAGTATTGGACCCAATTAAGTTGATACTGCAGTCGAAATCACAACGTTAACTTTTCTATTTACTGCCTGTTAGAATTTTCTACGGCAGGGTACTATGTGAAGCCCAACCATATTACAAACCCTGTTCAATGTTGATGTGTGCTACCAGATCAATCCCGTTGACGGATGACTGTTGCTGGTAGTGGTAGAGAGGAAACTAGTCGAGAGAAAGCGGAAACGAAGGACCCGCATAGTGTGGTGGTGAAAGCGTTAACTCCCGAAAAGACTAATAGCGTGTCCGATCCCCATCGCAGACATCTTCGGGCCGGAATTTTGCACTTTGCAAATATCTCAGGATAATTGTGGTTGTATTACCCATAGTTATCGAAAAGCCAGCACAAGAACGGAGACAAAAAATCGCCTTATGTGACCTGAGCTGAATTTCGCCACATTTCTATATTCATTTTCGTGAAATGCGACACGGTCTGAAAGAATATGTGAACGTGTCTGCGGTGGGGAATGAACGCGCCATTGTCCTTGAGTTTTGCAAATATCTCAGCATCTTTGTGGTTGTTTCACAAATAATACCCTGCCGTGAAAGCTAGTAAACGGCAGTAAATAAAAAGTCAACATTTCCCAAAATATATTTCTTATGTCGATCCTTCACTACAGTTCCTTCAAAACAAAAATCAAAAACAAATAATGCAATAAAAATCATGTCTCATAGGTAAGCATATACGGATGCCTACACTTTTATCTCATCTAAAGAAGTTAAATGAATGTCCAAATGTTTAATTAAAGCGGAGAGATTAAACGATTTCCGATCAAACACACGTCGAAATTAATGCATATCGTCGCAAATTCGTTAATCTCGGTCTCGCGACGAAGCTGGTTTTCGATAACTGTCGATAATTTTCCAATAACTACAGCACTTCAAAACCGAAAAACAATCTGCTCATAGAAAAGTTTATGTTTTATGGTAAAAAGATAAAAAGGATAAAGCTCTCGCCGTTGATCAATCCGTGAAAGATGCACCATGCATTCGACTTCATTAGGAATTGTTGGAGGTGATTGAATGCAAATCTGGAGTTTAACATGACTCGCGGTGGCTTGGTGAAGTATCAAAAAAGTATTGCTATCCTCCCAGACAAGTCTGATAGCAATTTGCAACCACAAATTTATTTGGAAACAAATCACTCAAGAAATTGAAAGAACGAAATTTTCAGAACCTCCCACGTAAGCGTGGCAGTCACAAGAACCAAAAGTACATTAGGGAACACTATCACCTCGTGCTAAATGAAAACCAGCTTGCTCAACTACTATCTGTTCGAAATACGAAACAGAATCAGAGAAGAGAAGAAATATTTTTTGGAAATTCTAGAATATCAGGCCTTAACCTAATTGGAATAGAAGAACTTTCACCCTATAGGCAAAAATTTGTAAATTTCGAAAGTTCTGATGTATTTATAAAGGTCCGAATATGAGAGGAGATATGCTGGATTAAAATTGAAAGGGGCCATTATTTTCACACCGAATAACCGTACAGGAGATCAAGTGTGAGTGCGCTTAAAAAATGACTTATCATACATGCGAAGTCGAAGAAGAGCGACATAAGTGAAACATTTACTCAAAGAAACTATCCTAAGATTTTAAGACCACGTGGACGAACGAAGTAGGAAACAGATAAATGTGCCATTAACTATAGAACCCGGTACTTTATAACCCATAGATGAAAGACTGAGTTGAAAGCGAAAGTAGATGAGAAATTTACAAACCATCGAGCAAAAGCCAGCTCTTTAAGTGTCATGTTAGTGAAGTTAACTTCGTGAACCACAACAAGCCGTCACTTTACCCATGAAGCGGCACCGCTAATACTTTGTGTACAGAAGCGTAAAGCCCACCGCTAATCACAGGGGGCGGGGTACCCAGTTACTAGACCGGTCTTCACAAATAGAGGGAACTTCTGAATATGCCCAGCAAAACAAAAAGAAACAGACACGTACCTGAATTAGTTTAAGAGATTACCTATTTAACCCATTTCGTCACACTATTAACTTTTAAATTTAATACCAATTATGCCAATTTTTGAAAAGAAACATAACTTTTTTCCCTCACTCATAGTTCTAATTAGACACGTATAAAATGATGCTAGGGCATATAATGCCCTCCTTACTTTAGCGAAGGTGTTACGATAGTGAGAATCTCTCACAACTAAGAAAAATACTCGGTGCTACAAAAAAATGGAAACTGCATTGCAACCGCCCAGTAAAAATGGCCCCAGGTAAACAATGAAAAGGGGAAATACAGGACCTCTCCTATGACCATAGTTCGCTAGTTTTAATCAAAATTATTTTTGCAGTATCTAATGAGCTATGACGAAAAAATGTGATAACAACAGAGCGAAAAGATAGAACTTCTCTGCACGGTTTCCATGTCAATTGACAAGATTAGCTGTAAACTGAGATAAGTTTGCTAATAATTGAAAAGTAGGTTATTTTCGGGTATAATGTGAGTCTAATAGTTTTCAAGCAAAACTATGTCAAGGAATGATCTTGCATCTTGAGCTGAAAACAGGATTGTAACTATGTATGATAACACTATCAAGAGAAAACCTTCGAAATAGCTTTAGGATGAGGGTAAGCGCAGTGGTTGTGATGTCGTGCAATATGCACGAAGCTCTGGCTCAACCCCGTCCTTGGCCAACGAGGCCTCTTTTCCTTGCGATGTCGGGTAATTAGTACCGTACTAGTTCGGGAAGTTCAATCGCAAACACAAGATCTAGGAAAACCTTTGCATGGCTATCGCAGGACTGCAGCGGAATCGACTCAACCAACTTTTAAAGATATTCATAAAGGAGACGAAAAGTCCTTAAGTAGCGGCGAAATCCACGCTCAAACACTAAAACCTTCATGAATAATGGATGCAACAATAAGAAACGAATGCAATAAGCGCTAAAATCCGCACAACATCTATGATGTGCGGCCATATAAAGAAGAATAAAACAAAATTACTCACAAGCTGCACAATGATATTCGCGAAGAATCCACTTATCGATTTTCGAGAATTCAGTTCTAACTGAGCAACTTGAGTGGCACGACGCAACTTAGAGGCATCATTTGGAAGTAGTGAACCAAATAGACTGATGATTGCAGGGCTAGAGATAAAAACTGGAAACCATAGGATATTAAACAAGCACATTTTGAAAACTGTTCTCTTATCACGCAGTTCTCAAAAACTCGAAACAGTGAATCAGAAAAAAATTAGATATCTAAAAAATCATGATAGGGAAATAACATCTCGTCAAAGTTCTATCCATACTAAAACAAGTCGAAATCTAATTACGAATATCACATATACAATCACCTAGGGTGGAGCCAGCAAACTCTCGATTAACCACCATCGAGTACAAAATTGAGCCTGCGAACTCTGCCCACCCGACGGAAAAGAAGAGGATCACGTTTTTGTCCAGGAAATCGAGTAAAAAACCTCACCGTCGGTAGTCATCTGACTATGTGTTTAACATTCATTTCAATCCATGCGTTAACAGTCGTTGTTAAGCGGTTGTTATGAAGATCCACTATGTGCCAAATCCAATAGACCCAATGTTTTCTAATACGTCGTATGCCGCAGTTTCCCCTGATTCTTGGTAATTAAAATAGGCGGAAAGTTTAGATCTCTTTTCTTACATGCATGAGCCAGTAGGTTGAAGGAGCTGGAGAGAACATACACCAGGCTAATTAAGCGATCGATTTTGATAAGAAAAATATAAGAACAAAGCCTAAATATTGATGACAGCAGCATGTAGATTCTTCACTTGTTCTGGTCTAATCTTCTTCACATGGAATCTCATGGATGAGATCGCATTTCAAACTTCAGAAGAAGAAATAGTTAGGACTGCATATCCATCGTCACTGATATGATTTGGAAATAGAAGAGATCGGATCAAGAGTTGTGGATGAACTGCATGGCCAATTCGGATACAGTCGCTATTCCATTACGAGAGTGGTTTGTTTTCATCAAGTAATTGGCAGTCCCACTGCATGTGCAAGGTTGACCTATTCTTGACAAGGTCTTCTTTCATCGCATCTACAAACCTTCACCAACTCTAATGTTAGTGCTAACCACAATTCGATAACTTCAATCTGATGGGCTATGCTACTTTGAGAATTTCTGAATACAGCGTCTTTCCGGTCCTTGTTGAGCTGTGACGAAGTTGTAAAATGAGCCGATCTCAGTCCTCATCGATTTTACCCATAACGATTTTACCCATTTCCTCACAAGTACACCGAACTACTAAAAAATCCCAATTTATGATTATTTTATCACCCATGAATTCTGCAGCTTCTTCTCCTTTTTGAAAAGGTAGAAATTTAGCAAGAAAAAGAAACGATATTCGATTCAATCAAGAAATTTTGCCTAGTAACAGAACCAGTAAAACAACAGAGTGGTGATCACTGTGGTCAATCCTTATTGTCATACAAATCATTTGCATACTCCAGCGTTGACTGTCAAAACGACGACCGAACTGTGATATTTCATGCATTATTTCTGGCTTGATGAGTAACTTCGCGAAGTTCTCACAGTATTCGTCCCATTCCAATTTACAAGTATTGACCGAATTTCCTCGGACAATCTCTCTTCAATATTTTTGGTGCTACAATCAACGCTTCGACGTAAGAATTTCTAAGGTTTATAAGAAATGCATCAATCCTTGTCGTAGCTTCATGCTGCTATGTAGGCAATGAAAACTGTCAGTGCAGGAGGCACTGGTCCATATCTTTCATCCGGTAGACATTGAATCAGGTAATCATTTTCGGCCGTTTTCGTTATTTCTGGAGAGAATATCTGTGGAAAAGCTGCCATTCTCCGCCACAGAGATGGTTATACTCGTAGCTAGCTTTTGGTACTCTCCTAGAGTAGGTGCAACGATTTTAGAGGACTCCAAGCTGCTTGCTCTATAACTGCTATTCGCTTAAGTGCACGTTAACAACTGACGACGAGAATAGAGTCCCAACGTACTAGACCACTTTCCTCAACGCATGCGTAGATATGTACATGAACAAACAGAATGTTTACCTCAGAACGATACAGCAGCAACACAGAATCCATCTTAGGAAACCACCCACGTCTCATATTAAATACAGAATCCCTTTTAGATCTCTCTAAGCCTATGCACCATCAAAGCACCGCTCAGCACTGAGAATGATCGACTAGAAACCTCTTAACCTCTTAGAGAAGATCCGAGATTGCTAATAGCTGCATGGACGAAAATTTTTAAACATTTAATTTTGCAACATCTACCAATTGTAACGGGACTATTTGAAAGCTGAACTTCTACAAATTCGTGTAGAACCTTCTAATCCAGTACGATGAACAGTGCTTACCTTTTGCTTGACAGCAGTAGTGGTCGAACTGAGGCTCCACTTTCGCAAGGTCGAGCCTGCTTCACCCAACCGGATACATCATACACCGTGGTATAGCACGACATGGCATGTTCTAAGACGAACTGCATAGGGCTGCTAGCACGACGAATCATCCTAGTTAAGTAATAACGTGTAAATGTTTATTGTACAGTTTACTTATGAGTGATTTATCAACTGATGATAGCAATGATAAAGCATATCATAAATTTGTTGTTGGAGACTTCAATGCCAGAATAGGAAAGGCCAACGAGAGCGAATATAGGA